CCCACAGTCACTGCACACTTGAGGAACAGCAGGACCAAACCCAGGTAGATATCTTACACTGTTATTCTGAAAAGAAGCGAGAAACCATGCAACATCAGATCAATACACAAATAAGTATCACTAAAATTAGAAACCAAAGCCATCGATCCAGAACATCAACACATGTTGTTTAAACATGATAATACACCCATGCATCTATCATCAAAAGAATTTGTCCCTGGCTTGCAAGGACATATTCTTCAAATTTTTCTATATCAATACTTCTTTTTGGTTTCAAGTCATGATTATTTCAATAAGTCAGAGTTCCAAGAAAATGAACATGTCAAATAAAAATCAGAACACTAATCTGATACCTGTCATTCATAAATAAGTGTATGGTTTATAGCTATGAACTTGTCAACGACAAATAACTAGCCAGAATAAATTCGGAAGTCTACCTTGTTGGAGGCAGTCCTGCCAACAGGCTGGAGATGAAAGGAATCACAACCAGTGCACTGGTATACATAAGATAGTTTGAGGGGAGTGCTCTTCATCGCACTTGCAGAACTGCATTAGATAAATTTGGTTTTCACTTAACAAAACATAAGAATATTATTATTCTAGTATATATACTCACATTACAGGCCCTAACTCAAATCACTATAAGTGGAACACTTACGTGTAAACGCGAACAAAGACTCGAACATAGAAATCCATTTGAACAGATAGCACAGGAACAATGTATCGCTTGTACCGATTTGCATGGCTCTGCATTCAAGAGAAAAGAGAAAGAAAATTATGCAAATATAAAAGTAAAAGATAAAAACTCTACACTGAACTATATATTACTTCAGAAAAAAACATGACTTTCCCTTATTATGACATGTCCACAGAGAAGAAAAATCAATTAATTATAAAAAGGTTATAAACACAGGTAACTGTTACATGAAAGAACACTGCAGGGAAATGGTGGGGGATTAGAAAAAGTACCTCAATGCATGCTAGGAGGATCCTCAAAGCCATTTCATGGCAATATTTCCCTCTCAATGGATATGAACCATACCTAATTGCAAGTGGAGTCAAAACATAAGTCCAGAATCCAGCAACACATTTCAAACAAAGGTGAGGGTTGTATGACTTACTTGGAGTAGCAGACCTCCCCATTACCGCCACAAAGCACAGCCATATCAGTTGCTGTACACATCAACATGCCTCCATCAACAACAGACTGAACTGCAGAGTCCAGAAATACTGAAGGTGAACCATAAGGATCAAGATCAACCTGAAAAACCATTTATAGATAATGAGAGTAAACATGGCTGCTTCTGGAAAATGTTATTCATATCAAAGAGAAGAGAAAATTGTTTAGCAATCATGAATTCTGGACATACACATAAAAGTGAAAAAAACACCCAATTGCTTAGTGCTTGAAAGGTGCACATCCTTTTTTAAATTCCATTTAAGAGTGGAATTTTATATTAAATATATACATCAGAGGGATTCACTCTAATAAATGAAAATTGTTTACAAAAAAATAGCATGTGCATACCACATCAAATTCTTTTGGGTGGGTGAGCATATATACACGAGCATCAGCAAGATGTGATTCCACTTTTGAACATGCCACTGAACCATTGAACTTTATATTTCTCCTGCAAGCTTCAACAGACGCTGCAAAAAAAAAAATAAAAAAATAAAAAAAAACATAACTCTTTGATATATTATTTGCCATACCCAAAAACATAATTTGCAACTGTGTTAAAGAATATGACAAATTGCTAATCACAGATTGGATGAAACTCTACTAATGTCATGGGCAGAACAGATGCACAATATACATGAGCATATGCGGGTACACGTGAGCAAATGAACTTGTATCTGCATGGGAACCAGAATCTACATGTACTTCTTGGGTCCACTTTGTTCAGGGATAAGCAGTTTCTAAATGAAGGAGCCTTTTTAGAAAGAAAAAAAATTATATATATATAAAGAAAGCAAAAGATAACAAGATACAATCAGAAATAGCATCTGATACATCATATGGTACATTGACAACGAACCTTTATCGTTGTCTAAAGCCACAACTTGACCAAGTCCTTCTACTTCACGAGCATATCTTAGAGATCTTAATCCAGAAGCTGACAAGGCCTGTGAACTCACATGAAAAGAAATGAACAAGAAGTTAGTTGGTTTCGGTTAACAAATAAATAAATAAATAGAACCTGGAAACTTAAAAGAAAATTAATGATGAGTATAACAAAAGAAGTTCATAGAAACACCTCAAGAACTCTTGGTGGCTTTAGTTTGCCTTGAACTCTTCTCTCTGTGGTCTTGACAAATTCTTCTGAATCGCCACATGGTTCATCTTGGGATATCTCTTGAGGTCCTTCAGCTTCTCCATTTGACTTTTCATCAGTGACAACAGATTCATTTGGAGCTTCCTCTGCAGCAGATTCAAAAGCATTCTTTTCTGACACCTTTGTAGCTGATGCTCTTTTAGACAACATTGCTTCATGCTCCTGCTTGCGTTTGGATACAAATGACCTCAGAACAGCAATGGAGATGTCCCTATTGTTGACCTGGTTATAAAAGAGAAAAATAAAAAAATTTACGGAAAAATCAACAATCAACCATAAAGCAATTCATCTTCCCGAAGGTTTGACATAAACAAAGAGATGTTTAACTGTAATAAATAAGTTTACATAGTGCAATAACAAACTCAATGATAAGCAAGATACAATATATACACCTGTTTCCGAAGAAAACTAAGAATATTCCTGCTGTATTCAAAATTTAGAAATGCTTGTGCCAAAATAAGAGACCCAAATCCTTAGTTAACATTCTAAGCATTGCAGGAAAGTTTTTCCCCAACAAAACTATTCCTAGTGAAAATATATAATTTCAACTTCAGATCTCATGAGCCATAACTCACACAGGTCATTGGTCAGTAATGTATAACTACAAGGTGTAACCAAGATGAAATGAACAACATAAATCTAGTTCCGTGTAAGGATGCCAGAATCCTACATCTCTTCTCATATAAGCAAATACTTTGATCTCCTTTGTGAATTTGAATGAATTAACAAGAGCAATTGTCAAATGAATCTCCTTCACACTTTATGAAAAGCTTCTTATTTGAGACAGAACCTGGCAAGAGTAGCTTCTATCAATTTGAAATATTGAAACACCAAAGAAATTAACATTGACACACAGCGACATTTCAATTTTTACTATCAGAGTGATATCAAAATAATAAATAATAATAATAAAAGAATCTACGTGTTAACATCTGGAAACCAAATAAACAGAGCTCTTCAACTTCAACTCCTCAACTTAAATCAACGACTCACAAAGCACCTAATTCAACAATCATAGTTATCCCACTAACCCTTCAAAAATTTCTATTCAAAAGCCCCAGAAAAAAACATGTTCACCCCTAAACCATATATTCAGCAGAAAAAACAAAACTTGAACAAAAAAAATCACTAAAAATAAGAATTTGGGACCTGGGTTTTGTTATAAAACACTTCATTCTTGGCGTGCATAAGAATCTCAGCCTCTCCTTCTTTGATAATAGTATAATCATTAAGATCCTCCATTGCCATTGTTATTTCCTCTTTTTCATGCACTCCCAGTTTACAGAACCAAGACGAACACTGCCAGAAGAAGAAGAACAACAAAAGCCTTTGGCTTTGTTTGGTCCTTCTTGTTATCAAGAGACTACTCTTTGGTTTTAAAGTTCCTGAAAGCAATAAGTACATGAAATTACTTAACTTATATCCACATTTATACGCATAGATGTGAAAACCCTATACCTGTGTTAAGAATTTTCTGACAGATTGAGACTTTTGTTAAACCCTAAATTCTCACCTTACCCCGGTACACGTTAGAATTTCCTGGTAGGTTTTGGCTAAAGTGAGCTGTTGGGTGGGTGGATATTACTGGGTTCAGGTCGGATCCTTTGGTTAGGTATTTGAGATAAGTTTTAGTTGATTTTCAAATTGATTTACCAAGATCATTTTTAATTGAAATTTGAAATATATTTATGTAATATTTTTTAATTAAGAAATTATTATTATTTTTAATTAGTATAAATAATTAAAATATGTTTTTTCAATAATTGAAGTGATAATTGGATTAAAAATAAATATTCATAAAACTGATTGCTTTAGCTACATAATAATTAAAACTGAAGATTTAATAACTTGATTATTCGAGTGTAACGTTTCTACTCCTGAGTTCAAGTTCTTATAGCTGTTAATAAGAGTGATTACTAAAATCTTCCTTGAACGATGCTTCTAGGTCTCGAGATATTAGTTAAAATACGTGTAAATTAATCTGTTCATCTCGATTATTTAAAAAAAAAAATAATATATTATTATTATTATAAGATTTGTATTGTTTAATTAAACTTGAGGAGGATTACTGTTATTAACCTTATTTATAAATTTAATTATATATATGCGAGGATTATTTTATATACATAATATATGATTGTTTTATTTTAATTTAAACGTGTATTCACTATTATTAAATATTAAATATATATCTAAATCATGATTTTTAGTATTTATATTAGATTTTTTTTAATGTTTACTTCTATCCATGATTGTAAATTGTTACTTTATGTTTAATTGATTGAATTAGCACTTACATATGAGGTTGACCAATGCACAAACTAAATATCCTTTACAGAAGTAAAATTAACATTAAAGTATCATATAAACAAGAGTTTTTTTCCTTTGAAATGAATACTGAAATTATATTAATAACTTCAGAAATATTGAACAAAAAAATAAAAAAAATTTCTCCCCTCGTGACCGAATGACAAACTCTTTAATTACTAGAGTTAGCTATACCCAGAAATCTTATGTTCTTCAAGTTGTAAGAGAGACGTCTACCATGTTGATGCAGTCACTTTGATCTATTGGGTTTGTAGGATGTCTTGTTGCCATGAGGATTAGACGAACTCAACTAACAATTATGTTTGAATATCTCAGTTATTAAAAAAAAATAATGATCTAACAAGTCCAGGCTGAAATTGCATAAAGGGGTCTATCATACCAACAAATCATCAAACTTGCCCTCTCATTTACAATCTTATACCCATCTCCACCATAGCTCTTCACCATTTGTTTTGCATCCTCCATGGGGTTGCACCACAAATGGACTGGCTTAAACCCACTTCCCCCAAACCTAACCATCCATTTCCCATATCTCTCATGCCTCTCTTCCCTCTCTAGCCCCTCATGTGCCACCATATTTTCTATCTCTCTCCCAAACATTTCCTCTATTATTAGCCTTTCCTCACTTGCATTTGACCCAAATGTCACATCTATTGAGTCAAATATTGCACTATAATAGTGCAATCCTTCCACAAATCTATCCACTAAACGGTTCAAATTATGGTCAGCTTCTTGCTCTACCAAAAAGAATAACTTAGGTGACATTGATCTAACCATTGCTAGAAATTGACCCATTTGCTTACAATCCTTCACACTGTCATTCTTTTTGGCCCCAAAATGTGCATCAACTCTATCATCTTCAGCTAATAACACATGAAGGTTTAGTATTGATATTAAAGCTAATGCTTCTCCTGATCTCACCTTAAGTATGTCTATTGTTAACTCTCTTAAGTTGACAATTATGGGGTGAAATTGAAAGGGCATGTCTAAGGCCTCTGCCTCTTTTACAAGTTTTGGGCCTAATTTGTCTAATGCATGCTTGTTGTTGTTGACACAAGTGACCCTCAAATGGGGAGGCCCATCCGGGAAAATTGAGCAACTCCTGATGAGCGGTACCCAAAATCTTGGGTCACAGGAACCCAAATCTATGATATGGATCACACGCTCTGTGGTCATGAGTTGGTGCAAGGTTCGAGTGATGGTGGCGTAGGCGAACCCAAGGTAAGGGAAGGCCTTTGAGAAGAGGGTTCGAGTCTGGTCTTGTTCTTGTTTCGGCTGTTGATGATGATTCAAGGCCTTATAGAGGCCCGGCCAACGCTTGACAAGGCGGATGGCAAGGGCCGAAGCAAAGCGGGCTGCAAGCCTCTGCATGGAGTCGCCGGTCATGGAGGAGAGTGGAGAAATCTGACGGAGACACTCATCGGCTCGGTGGAGGTTGCCGGAGGATGCATGTTTGGCACAAGTTAGGAGGAGTTGGATGAGACGTATGCCTCTTTCTTCAGGCTTCAGTGTGCTCGCCTGTGGAGTTGGGCAGGGTGACAATGTTAGGGACAATGTCACCTCAGGCTTTGATGATGAATTCATCAGTGCTTCAGCTAAATTTAAAGGAGAATAAAGTTTGAGAAGGTTTTGGGGACTCGGTTAGATACTTATAGAGGAATCAATTTTAAAGGTGGAGTAGGTGAGAGTGTAATGGGAAGTATGCCATTGGAAGCTTATTAATAGTTCCAACTTCCAAATGAAAGAGTACAAAAATTTGAATGATATTTTTACTTGGCCCTTCATATTGGGTTGTTAGTTTTAATTCAATAAGTTGAATAACAAGAAATTGGGAAGTCAATGATCCAGAAGTCAAACAAAGTTTGGTTAACACATTTCTTTATTGGGGCTGTGTCCGATCTATGATGGACTGAGCTTCTAAATGTAGATGCTTCCCAGAAGAGAACAAAGCAGAAGGAAGATAAATTCCAAGCCTCGTGATGTTATGAGTATTGTCTAAACCTCTAAGTCAATTATCGATACTGACTTGTATCTCAACGTTGAAAACAAAGAGATTTCAATTTCGCAAAGCTTCTTGTTAATGGGATGTGGCCTAATTAGTTGACAAATACAGGCCGCCTCCCAGAGCATATCTTGTTGTCTCTTTGCATGAAGCTGGTTTGAAACTTGACATAACAGAGATAAAGTCAGGCACTACAGGCCAAAGGTAGGGTCACCGCCGCGCAGTGGTGGGGCGCCGGTTTACCGATATAAGAGTTTTGATTGGCTTGATTTTCTCACCCAATTTATATTGATATATAACCATTACATCTTTATAATGAATGTTTAATAAGACCACTAAACGTCTGGATTTGGTCAACGCTCTGAATTCCAAATATTGTAGTTCAAGACCAAAGAAATTGACAGGAAATTTTAGGGTGTCTTTCTGCTACTAATTTTATATATGAACCTCAATATTGTGGACATGCATGCACCAGAAAGGGAGTTGGGCTATAGAGTCTGAATCTTATTATATGTTTAAATGCAGGAACTCCTTGTCGAAGTGTTTTTTTAATATGAGATGAATAAGTCCTAAATGGGCATCATTTTATCAACGTTTTTACACTGTTGTGGTTAAGAGAATATATAAGGTTAATAGTTGATGATCTGGCAATTTTGCAGACTGTAATTGGAAACTTTCTCTTGGATGCTTTTCCATGGAGGGTCTGCAATTTTGAAGTAATGCTTGTCTTACTAGTCAATGTAGACAAAAATGAACTTTCTCGTGAGTACACTTAATTGGTCAACTACCCCAAATTTCAATCATGTCTGTCCTTCCATTATAAAAGGTAAGTATGTTATCAGATTCTTTCAGGTTTGATGCATTCTGCAACCCATCAAGGAGTGAAAGGTCACTTCAGAATGCTTAAAAAATCTAAAAAAGTACCCTAACTCTTCTGAACTTGATGAAGAAGAGAGACAAGAATGTAACCTTACATTTCACTTCCTTTGATCAATTTATAGATGCTCAACATATTAATACTATGAACCTCCCTGTTATTAAAACCAACTATAGCCTGTAATGAAGATGACTAGCTCAAACCCTCAATTCTTGAATTAAGGGCATATGGTTAGCCATCTGTAATTTTTTTGTTCAGATATCTGACAAAGTTTGCACTGACCTTAATCAAGCTATAGCGTGGGAAATTTTGCAAAACAATACAAAGTTTGCAGGGTTCTTTGGTTCAAGTTCAGTGGGCTTTAATTTTGAAGAGCTACTTCTGTCTACTCAACATTCTACATGAATTTGACTAAAGTACAATAGCCCAACTAAAAGTATATATCAGCAACTGGAAGCATCAAGCATCTCTTTGGTGTTATGCATGCTTAATTGTATACACAATTCTTGATGTCATTCAATTACTAGACCCATTACTACTGATTATGGCATAGAAATCAGTAGTTCATGTGTGGAAATTCAATGACTGGATAAAGCAAGCCACGCATATACAGTGCCTTTTCAATTTCTTCCTTCAACAATCCTGTTACATAAACATTAACACAGGTATGGAAGATCACTAGAGAAGAGTAAGCAACACAATTATACATGTTTGGGGATTGGGAAAATTTCCCATCTAATGACTAATCTTAGTTGCACGAGTAATATACTTAAACAACGCGGTGTTATATATTTGGTTACCTTTATTTTCACTCTGTTAAGTTCCAACCAAGCTCTTTAGTTGAAGGGGGATATAATATTAATATTATAAGGTTTCTTGGTTTGGAATTAAGTGAAACTTAAGGTGATGTCTCCCTCTGTTCAATGAACATGGCCAATATCTGTAAAATTAATCGTTAATCATGGTCAATGACTATTCTCTACAGGCTCACCACCTCACGTTATTAACACGTTTCACCCAAAACCACTCATGTTATTAAAGTTTATTAAGATAACTTAGCGCAAAAAAAAAAAAAAATATGTTGTCTTCGTGCAATTTCTTTTATTTCTGTCAATTCTGGGCTTTTTGTACCATTCTCCACATTTTAAGCTTAAAACATTTCCTCATGAAGAATTAAATATTAGTCTATTAACTTAGATAGTATTCATTACTTGTAGGCAGAATTAAATATATACAAACCAACTTACAATAATGACTAGTGACCAATAAAAAATATACGAGGATTATAAAGCAAGATTGCAGTGGTTACGTGAATGAGTTAGTGAGAGACTGGCTTTCCTTATAGTCTGGACATGCCCGCTTTCTTAATGTATTTTTATAATGTATCCCACCTTCCGAATATATAGATGTAATCAAACTGCAGATATCGCCCACCTGAAACGGTAACGTGGCACTGAAGCAGAAGATCGACTACGAGCGTCTATAAATATAACGTTCTAGCGGCCCTATGTATCTTTAGATTCAGTAGAACAAATCTGAAGTTATAAGGACGTTTTACCTCAATCCAAAAACGAGTTTTTGAATTGATTTATGTCTAAAATACGCTGTAGGCCCTATATATACCATAACTCAACTCTCAATTGTTGAACACTAGAAAAACCGAAAAAAAATTATGTCTTCATGCATTTACTTTCTTTTATTACTTTCAGTTATGTTATTAGCTTCTTCATTGACAATTTCAATTCCAATTCAAGAAAAGTTTTTGCATTGCCTCTCTGTCAAGTCTGAGCTTTATGTCCCTTCCTCCATTCTGTACGTCTCCAACACTTCTTCATATTCTTTAATCCTTCTATCAATTGCTCAAAACCTCAGGTTTACAGGGTCTTCAGTCCCAAAGCCTGAGTTTATTTTCATGCCTTTGAATGAATCTCATGTCCAAGCAGCTGTTATATGCTCCAAAAAGCTAGGAATTCATATAAGAATCTGAAGCGGAGGCCATGACTATGAGGGGGTCTCTTATGTATCGGAAATTGAAACACCTTTCATTGTAGTAGACCTTGCCAAGCTTCGGTCCATTAGTATTGATATTAATGATAACAGTGCTTGGGTTGAGGCTGGTGCAACAATTGGTGAAGTCTACTACAGCATTGCTGAGAAAAGCAACATTCATGGCTTTCCTGCTGGACTTTGCCCGAGTTTAGGCATTGGTGGGCACATCACAGGAGGTGCCTATGGTTCATTCATGAGAAAATATGGTCTTGGTGCTGACAATGTCCTTGATGCCGGAATTGTTGATGTTAACGGCAGAGTTCTTGACCGAGCAGGCGAGCAGCCATGGGTGAAGATCTATTTTGGGCAATAAGTGGAGGTGGAGGAGCAAGCTTTGCAATTATTCTTTCATGGAAGATAAAACTGGTTCCTGTGCCACCAATTGTGACAGTTTTTTCAGTTAGAAAAACCCTGGAACAAGGTGCCACAAAACTCCTGTATAAATGGCAAGAAGTTGCACATAAGCTTGATGAGGATCTCTTAATTAGAGTACTGGTACAACTGACAAGCGCAGGACAAAAAAGCGAGAGAACGATAAACACCAATTACTTTGCCTTGTATCTTGGAGGTGCTGATAAACTCCTGCAAATAATGCAAGAGAATTTCCCTGAACTGGGATTGACGCGGAAAGATTGCATTGAAACTAGCTGGATCAAATCTGTAGTCCATGATGCGCTCTACCCAAGTAATACATCTTCTGAAATTCTGCTTAGACGAAAGCCGGTATTTAACGAGAACTATAACAAAGTGAAATCAGATTTTGTAAAAGAACCAATACCTGAAACCGCGCTTGAGGGGCTACGGAAAAGATTGCTGGAAGAAGATAATCCACTAATGATACTGACCCCTTACGGTGGAATGATGAGTAAGATTTCAGAATCCAAAATTCCTTTCCCTGACAGAAAGGGAAACATATATGAAATCTTTTACTCGACCAGCTGGCAAGATGGAGACGAGAATGAGAAAAAGCATATGGAGTGGATTAGGAAACTGTACGATTACATGGGTCCTTATGTTTCAAAGTCCCCCAGAGGTGCATATGTGAATTATAGGGATCTTGATTTGGGTATGACCATGAAGAGTAACAAAAGTTTCATTGAGGCTAAAGTTTGGGGAGAGAAGTATTTCAAGGATAACTTCAAAAGATTGGTAAGAGTGAAGACCAAAGTTGATCCTGATAATTTCTTCAGCCATGAGCAGAGCATTCCATCTGTTCCATTGGAAGGCTAGAGATGGTTTGACTGGAAAAAAATTAATCATGTCTTGATCGGAAGCTTGCACAGTTTTTGGTTAAATTTACAGAATAAAAGCAGAGAAATTGGTATTTTATGATAATTCTTTTAAAGAAATGTCACATGTAAAAAGTTTTTGCATACAATTGTATAAGTATCAATGTATAACATTGTTTAACTATCTCTGGGTGACTGAGTGATTCGATAGGAATTCTTGGGTGTATTACTTAAGAGGTCCTGAGTTCAAGTTCCTCTTCCGTTGCTAATAAGGGTGGCTATTGGAACTCTTACCCGATTGATAGTTCCAAAGTCTCGAAGAATTAGTTGAAGTGTCTATAAGTTGACCAGGACAACACCGGTCACCGAAAAAAAAAAAAAAAAAAATTGTATAACATTGTTCTTTTATTGTTAAGTACATTAAAAAAATTGTCCTTT